CATGTCTTCTAAGAAGTCAGTCTCACTGAGTTCAGTGGAGCTTTATTCATTCCACCAGTGGTGCTTACTTCTGAGTACGGACTGCATTGGACCTTACATTTGGAGCCTATCTTCAGCTTCATAGCATCTCTGCTTCTTGTTTTGAGACAGGGCTGGGCAACTGTAATAGTTTGCAGGAGTGCATTTTTGTGTGTGCCAAGAGTAAGGAAACACAAATGAAAGAAACCCAAAGTTCATTTATTGTTTTGAAACATACATGGGCTTGGTTTGGTTTGGTTTTGAATACTGCAAGTGATCCCTGCAACCTACTTAAATTGTGATGGCACTTAAAGGTGTCCAGGAGTGGTGACTCACCTTTTGTATATGTTAGGCAGGGGTAGGCAAAATGCGGCCCTCCAGATGTTGCTGAACTACAACTCCCATAAATCCTAGCCCACACAGCCAATAGTATGAGGAGAGTTGGGCCTATCCCACACAGTGAGGAATATTGGGATTTGTAGTTCAGGAACATCTGGAGGGCTGCACTTTGCCCAGGTCTAGGGAAACCTTTTTTTACAGGAGATAGAACTGTCTGAGGATGCTCTGGACCTCACTTTTCTATCCCTTGTTTTAAAAGAACTGTGATGCTAGACAATGAGAAGACTGTTCAAAAAGTCTTCCAACTTCTTCCAGTTGGAATTAGCAGGGCTATTGCAGCTTTAAAATCAGTAGCTCTAAACGAGTCATTGAATGGTGGTGGTTTTCAATAATTACAGACTTCCTCCTCCCATCCCACAGCTCCTATGGCTTCCCAATGATGAAAGGGATTACCTGGGAGCTATGGGACCCTCAGGACAGAAGTAGTGGACAGTAGCCTCTGGAATAATCTACCCCCTGATATTCGTGCAGCTCCCTCGCTGGGTATTTTTAAAAATCAACTAAAAACACTGATGTTTCGGCAGGCCTTCCCCTTAGCCAATTCCTGATTTTCCCTTTTTTCCTCCTCCTAGTGTCTCTCCCATTTTGCCTAAAGTCTTCCCCCTTTTTAAAATTGTTTCTAATTATATTGTAATATTTTGCTGTAGGCTGCCTAGAGTGGTCTTAATTGACTAGATAGGCGGGATATAAATAAAATAAATAAATAATAATAATAGTAAATCTCTGATTTCTGAAAAACCACCACTGCTATTGATGTCATTTTCTGCTAAGATCTTCTTGCATTCCCTCCCCCATTTATTTTATCTTGAACGATAACCTTTAACTATGCTTTACTGTACATATTTTCCTGCTATATACAATGAAACTGTAAGTTTTAACTGTAAAGGATTGGCAAAGTTGACACCCTGAGATTTTGTTGGACTGCACCTCCTCCTCATTTCTCGCCACTGGCGTTGCTGATTTGGGCTGATGTTAGTTTTGGTCTAACAATATCTGGAAGCTTGCCCTATTTCTCAAAACTGTTCTAGAGATGTTATTTCAGTGAGATGGGAGGCTATCAATTTGCTGATGCTAAGATTTTTAAAATATCATTAATATAATAAAAGTGCAAAATAGTTTAAGGGTCTGGAAGAAGAATTATGTTTTTATAGTGAAAGCATACTAATGTACAATGAGATTCCTTCCTTCACACTACAGCCATAGGGGGAATCTCCCCAATGGCTCATGATTCTAATCCTATTAAGAAAAAGAGTATAACAATTCTAGTCCATGAAGTGATTCACCAACTGATCTGGAGCAATTTGATGTAACTGAGTATTTACATACCACCCCCTCCCCCTCACACTAACCTTTCACAAACAAATATAAACAAGCTTATCTCAATGTTCTTTTTTAAGATGTTTCATGGGAACAATGACCTTATGTCACCCTCCTTAGTATATGAACTGTTTGTTCCAGTTTTCAACACTTTCTGCTGTCAACGCTGTCTATTTATTGGAAAAATAAAGGCTTCTTTTTTGGTATATTCCTTGGAAACTCACTGCTTTTTTCTCTCACTTGAAATATATTGCTTTCCAGCAGAGGTCTAACACCAAAGGTCTGAAGACTGCTGATGTATAAGAGAACAGTAATGCTAGACTCAACTCCATCCAAAGTCCAGAATTGGATTCTGAAAAGTATATTTTTTGAAAGGATTAGATCCTGCTTCCATCATTTAGAGCTGCTATATAGTGTAGATTCCTCAGATTTGGTTTAGCTAAAATGTGCTGACCTATCTTACTTCACAGCTAATTTTAGTAATTCTGTTGTGAAAGTTCTGCCATTCAGTTATTTCAATAGAAATAATAAAAGTTCAAGCTGCCTGAGATAGGTGTCTGGTTGTGGAGTTAGGGGTCAGGAGTGAATTGTGCCAACCTAGGAGAAGAGCATACAGTCCCAGGGCACCAACAGTAAAAGGATATGGTAAACAACATCTGACTATATCCAGAAAAACATGGAAACAGTGGTCATAAGATGGAATTAGTTGAGATCATGTAATTATTTTTACATCAAGTCACAACTCACCACTGTAGTGCATTCTTAGTGATAACAGTGGAGGTTTGCCCACAATAGTACACTGGTTACCAGTCCCTTCTCCAACACCCCTTTCAGGAAATGCTTGTTGGTGAACATCAGCCTTATAATGACAAACCTTCACACTTGCTTTCCATTCCATTACCTGCCAGTTTGTCCCTTGACAATCCCCAAATAATTAATCGGCCTGTATACTAATGAGACTATTACTGGAATGTTTAAATCCCAAGGGCCCGAGGAAACAGTTATGAAAGAATTGGAATATCATCCCAATAACATATCCTACAGCAAAACGGCACTGTCCTAATGTCACCTGGGGAATGTTGCGTGAGAATTATGAGGCCCCATTTGGAGAAGTCTCTGTGTTTTACCTGGGAACCTTGCCAAGAGGAAATGACATTCACAGAACTCCAAAGACAAGCTGCTCAGCAGCTTCAAGGAAAACACATTTAATGCCTGTGACCTCCCTTGGGGTCACTGAGCTGGATAGGGTCATTTTGCTGCTTGAGAAACCAGGAACCGAAATGGAGGTGCCCTGTGTAATTGGAGCAGCCATTGGCATTGCACTGATTCTTATGCCCTCTATTCAGCAAAACAGGATAAAGTACTTCGTATAGAGGACATAGTGGGTATGGAATATAAATATTCAGACTTGAGGAGAGAGAGAAGTAAAAAAAAATCTATGGAACTGGTGGAATGTTTGAATTCTTTGGCTTCCTTGACTCTACTAAAAGCAATGAAGTTAAGCAGAAAATCTCTTCCACCCCATGCTGCTTCCTTTTAGTAGAGTGACTTGATCCAAATGACAAGTAGAAGAGAGTCTCTGGGCTTCCACCATTACAAAGGGCTTTCCGACTTCCTTCCCAAATAAAAGACAACTTTGGTTATGATGATACAAGTTACCACTCCAGGGTAATCTGATGTTGTCGGTGGGGAATGTCTGAACCTAGTTGCTGAAGAATATTCAGGGAGAAGTAAGAAAGCTAGAGGTAAACAGGCAGGGACCAGGTTCCAGAAGTGACTGCTGAGAGAGTCACAGGATTGCATCACAAGGAAACAGGGAGACCTTTTCAGTATAACATACGGTACTATATCCCCATATGAGCCTTCTCAAGGTCATCAGACGAGGCCCTCCTCTCACCCTCATTGCCAGTGCAGGCATGTTTGGTGAGGACATGAGAAAGGATCTTCTCTGTGGCATCTCCCAGGTTACGGAATGCTTTCCCTCTGGAGATTAGGTCGGCCCTTCCCTTTCATCCTTCCACTGACAGTTGGAGACTCACCTTTTCAGGGAGGTTTTTAACAATCATACCTGAATCCCTGAATGCCATTTTTTTAAAAGCTGAGTTCTTACAGTTTTAAATGTTTTTAAGCATTCCATGTGTTTTAATTACTATCATAGTTTAATTATTTTAAATGTATAATTGATTGCAGTTTTAACTCTACATTTTCAACACTGTGAGCTGCCTGGAATCATCTTACTGGGATAGATAAATGAATGAATGAATGAATGAATGAATGAATGAATGAATGAATAAATAAATAACAAATAAACAAATAAACAAATAAATAAATAAATGGGGAGTTGAAGTTATGCTTTAGCTAGTTGGTGACTGACTGGGTCAGATCCAAAGATTGTGCTTCATCCATGAGAGCATTCTGGAATGGAGTTCTATTGAGAAAATGGCTGCTGGTGGAAGTGGTGGGTGGGCGGGTGATGCAGAGTTTTCATTGATTCACTCCTTTTCCTGACATTTCTTCCCTCACTGTCCTGGAGAGTCCCCCAGTCCTCGGCCTATGGGGGCCTAAGGGAGCTTGCAGGAAAGGGAAACTGGGAAGGATCACCAGAGTATACATGGGAAGCTTTGCTGAATCTAAACAATTGTCTGATAAAATATCCTTGTCCCACCAAGGAAGAGTGATTACAAAGGAAGCCTTCTAACATTTTAAAACCCCACAAGTATGTTGGACCTACTTCATATTGGTTTCTGGTTTTAATGGTGGGTTTTCTAAAGAGTTAAATTTTATATTGATTACATTGTTAAAAGCATAACCACCATCCAAAGTAAATTAGAATGGTAATTACTAACAGCATATAGTGAATGAATTGAATCATTTCACCTCCTCAATATGTAAATTTCAATCCCACCTTACAGTTCATTACTCCCCATAGGGTCATCAGTCCACAATCCTGTATCAATGGAGGAAGCTAAAATGTACATATAATGTTTATAAAGTTTCAATTCAATTGAATGAAAACGTTTCCCCTTTACTTTGAGACGCTGGACTGTTAGCATTCTGGTATTTTTTGCTATCTAAGCAGTTGTATTATCTGGTGTCATACTACTGCATCTTAACGAGTTCAGCCAAATCAACCTTATAAACTGTATTACCCTGTGCCCTGTACAATATATTTTCAATCGTATTTATTTCTCCATTTCAGGAGATCAAGATTTTGAATTGTGAAGTAAAAACATTTTTGACCATTTCCCCTGCTTCCTTCTTTTCAGCGGGCACCATATCTCAAAACGTAGTAAGAGGTGTGGTGGGCCAGGCTGTCCTGTTGCCATGCTGGTACAATGTCCAACAGGCAGGCGGCCTTACCCACATGTGCTGGGGTCGAGGCAGCTGCCCAAATTCGAAATGCAGTCAGGAAATTCTCCGTACAGATGGAAGGTGGGTTGTATCAAGAAGTTCATCAAGGTATGATCTAAAGGCTGGTGTGACTAATGGAGATGTATCGTTGACCATTGCAAATCTAAATGAGAGAGACGGAGGACTGTACTGCTGTCGTATTGAAATAAGAGGCTGGTTCAATGACATAAAAAAGACTTTGAATCTACAGGTTGAGAGAGGTGAGTGTGATTGTTGCATTGTGCCTATTGTCCTTGTTTTATAGGAACTCTGAAATGTAGCATCAAATATAGATTACATTGTCTGAATTGGGACTTTCTGAAGTCCTGAATGATACATACTTACTTGTCACAACACATACTTGTTTCACTTCCCAAGCTTGCAAATTTGCTGCTTTGCTTTGTGATTGGTCATCAGGTTTTGTTTGAGAGCATGACTGCAACTGGACAAAGCTGACTCTAAGTTCGACTTCTACCACGTGTTATCAGCATGGTATATTTTGCATCGTACATATGTATTGTGATCCATAGATTCAATACTTGCCTGTGCTGGTGGTTCACCAGCTGGGATCATGGCCAAAGATCATGGGAGTTGGAGTCTAACAACATCTGGAGGTTCATACTGCTTTTTAAAAAAAACCAACAACAACAGACTAATTGTTTTAAAGAAAGGCATATATCTTTGCTAAATGATTCATGGAAGGACAGAAATTTAAAGTTCATGCCATTCATGTCATCTTGATTACAAGGAAGGGGCCAATCTGGTTATGTTCTTGGGTTCTCTTCCTTTTTTTGCTCATTTTGCTCAGCAAGAAATGACTGTATGCCCAGGAAATTTATTTTTATCAGGTTCACATAACACACACTCTCTCTGTGTGTGTTTTGTCATTCAACTGCATGTCTCATTAAGATGAAAATAGCACTTCCAATGTAACATTTCAAATTGATGAAGAACATTTGGGAGGATGATTACACCAAACTGCAGTACAAAGAAGTCCTTAATATTCCACAGAAATATAAAACACGAAAAGCTCCTCCTGATATGTATGGTGGAGTCCTGTTGCTTTTTCCTGCACACAGAAGAGAGGCCAACTCCATGTTCGTTGTGTGTCTGGTCATGCATCCTATTGTGTGCCTTGCATGCACCCAGCACTTCTACTCTTGGTTATGGCAGCTTCTGCCATTTCTTTTTTTATGCATAGTAAAAGCAATAGGATTTTAGCCATAGGTTATTTTATAGTGAGACAAGATTAGGTTCAACAGTTTGAAGGGAAAAATGATAAAAAGAAAGCTGACACAACTTGTTAAAAATCCCCTGGAAATGAATGGGATGTTCAGGACAGATAAAGGGAAGTACAGTATTTCTTCACACAGTGCCTGGTTAACTGTAGCATTCACTGCCATAAAAATCTAATGATGGCTGCCAACCTGGTAGCTTTAAGGGATTAGAGATATTCCTGGAGATTAAGAGCATCAATGGGTGCAAGTCATGGTGTCTGTGGAACATCTCCAAGACCAGGTCCCTGTTTCCACTTCCTTGGGAATGCAAAACAGCTGGTGTAATTCAATTCCTGTCTTGCTGCTGGCTGTCCCTTAGGCAATGGATTGGCCACTATGAACACAAGGTGTTGGACTAGATGCATTTTTGAACTGATCTAGCAGGGCTGTTCTTAGGTTCTTAAGTCAAATTTCATGTATTAAAAAAAAGTTAAAAAGTGGGGCTGGAAAAAACACCACAACTGTGGGACTAGTCAAACTTCATGTATTAAAAAAAAGTTAAAAAGTAGGGCTGGAAAAAACACCACAACTGTGGGACAGTTGCGCATCAAAGGCTTTCCAATCCACACTGATATAATGGAGAGAGGAGAGAGTAAATTCAAGATGCTCTCTTTTTTATTCCTTCCATTAAGTCCAACCAGCAGGTTTGGTTTTGGTTTTGCTTTGCTTTGCTTTGGTGAGCCTTCAATTTAAAATCATTTATAATAGGATGTGGGCAGGCTATTTTTTTTACTAATTGTCTACTAAAGAATCTATTTATGACAATATAACAATAATTTATCTTTGTAAGGAAGGACTAAAAATCTATGATAATCAATTATTCTCAGTCCATTTCAAGAAATGAAGCCCTACCAAATGAAGCAAAGAAGATGTCTACTTTGTGGTAATGGAATAATTAAATGCCACACTAGTTCAACACTTTTAGCCCAAAAAAAGCCACTGCAGTAGTTGTATAAATAAGCATCATTTTAATAATTTTATGTTTGTACTTTGTGGCAATGGAATAATTAAATGGCACACTAGTTCAGCAGTTTTAGCCCAATAATCCACTGCAGTAGTTGTATTAAATAAGCATCATTTTAATAATTTTATGTCATATTATATGTTCATTCTAGAAATCCAGTTTTGAAAATTTTTTGATTTACCTTTTTGTTGGTCAGAATTAGTAGTTTTGTGTTTTAGATTTGTCTTCCCCCCCATTGCACAGACATCATTCAGATATATCATGTGCTTTTTCTTACAGCGACAACCACAGTGCCCACCACAACTATCACAACCAGTACAACTACCACAGCCACTACAACCACGACCACCACAGCCACTACAACACAGATGGTCACCACCATAATAACCACTGCTCGCTTCCCAACCACAGTTACTCATTCAACATCTTCCTTTCCTCTCTTAACAACTAACCCACATTCTCCAAAAACCTCTACTGCTACTAGTGGTCCAACAACAGCCACATCTTCTATATCAAAAGCTATTGGTTTTCCTGCAACTATTCTTCCTTTAGTGAACACTGAAACATTGTCAACTACTCTTCAGGATAAGTCAACTAAAAGTGTCTGTCCTTTTTTCACCATGGAGATGGCTTCTTCTGCTACAGGTAACATGCCTAAATCAGAACAATCACTTCCTGCAAGATGAAGTCCAGTGAAGTTCACGTTATGTTATACTGGGAGTTCTGGTTTGCTGCTCTTTGCAAACATTTTCATTTTCTTTCCCTACTGTCTCCATGTGTGAGAATGGAGGAAAGGTTTCTGAAGTGAAACTTCACAACTGAATTATTCTTTTGTGTTCATACTCTAAAAGAAGTACATAGATGTATGGGGAAGGAATGCACAAGCAGCAGTAGGTATTTTTGATGTTTCCACTGCCATCACTTAGAGTACTGAGGAAACAATCTGCATTTGGTTTAACTAACAGCCAAGTGGCCTCTTTATTGAGGGGTGGAAATTTCAATAAAATCTCTAGCTCCTCAGTTTTCTCCTTTTGTACGATCGACTGTTTGGTAAGAAGGGTGGAATGTGAATGACAGGATCTAATCCCCTATTTTTGTGCTGGTGTGGTAAGATTATGATTCTGAAATCAGATTTGTTGAAAGGTCTTCATGTCTGCCTTCTGTTATTGGATCAGAACCCCCCATAAAATAAACCCAATATTATACTAGAAGAGCAAAACCTCTGCTACAACAGTTGTGCCAGATTGCTCTGCTGTGCAAGAGGTTGTACCACCTGCAAAACTGGCTAAGCGATCCTTTGCACAACCAACATTATATAGGATACCACCCTTGTGGTGAGTCTGAAAATGTGCTGTGGCTTTTCTGCTAGTTCAATGACAGCACTGAATATTGGCCACCATGGACAACATTTATCTGTAGCTGTGATTTTCCCATCAAGTATATAGCCTACATGCACATGTTACTCAACTGTTACTCAGGGTGTTACAGTTAGCCAGTGGTGCCTCTTAGGTAATGGCTAGAATGCCATTGGAAATTTACCAGTATAAGTGCAATGGCGTAAATCACAGTGGCAAATTGCAGCTAGTTAATGAGTTGCTCATCATAGCCCAAATTACATTAACTTGCAGCAATTTACTGCTGTGATTTATGACACTGCTCTTATGCTGGTGTCAATAACCAACAGCATTCTAGCCAGTGCCTTTTAATTGCCATTTAAAGGACAATAAAATGCTTTGTGTATTTTGGTACACCTTGTATAAAATCAATCCAAGGTTAGAATGCCAAATATATGCTTTGTTTGCAAATGTTGTCCCTTATGTGCCTTTCCATAAAAGTTTTTAAATAAATGCCATTTCTATTTTGCGCCAAAATTGAATTTCAAAAGAAGTAATTATGCTCTACAGCTCTATCCACATCATAGCAAGTATCATCATGGAGATAACTTAAGAGTTAACTTAAGAGTATTTTTAAAATTGCTTTTGACTTTATTGTCTTCTGTTTAGTGGCTACATCTAGCCAAACTGGACGGACAGTGTCAGAGATGACTGAAAACCTTGAAAATAGTGCCAACTCAGGTAAAAAAAAAAAGGTGGGGGGAGGAAATCTAGCTAGACACTGTGAATGTTTCTTTTTTTAAAATGAGATTTCCCAGTTTATAAGGATTCAATAGGAATTGAGTTGGATTGTGCAGTCTTTATGGCTACTTGGACCCTTAAGCATTTTGAGCTCTTCACTAGATTGAAGTATTTATTTATTTATTTATTTATTTAGCTGTGACATGATAATATACCTGAGCTGTGAACAGAGGAAACATCTTTATTTTGTCTGCCTGCAAATTATGTGTTCAGCATTATCAAATGCAGAACTGTGCAAGGCATGTTTTCCAGAGGTCAAGTGTAGCTTGAGATCAGCTTCCACATCTCACGTTGCAAGCTGGTGGCCTGTAACCCGGAGGCACGAGGTGTTATTTCCTTCTCTTTTGCTTATAAGCTTCTCCATTTCTCATGCAGATTGCCAAAGCAACTGTTTTCAGTGTTTTCAGTGAGGAACACTATGTTTATTGAGCTGTTTCTGATCCTTTAAAAAGTAGAGATGGAGGCTTTGTATTCCTATATGACTACAAAGCCCGCTGACACAGGTGGCCGACTTGATGAGCATCCATCCCCAGACTCCACTGGACCACTTACTGCATGGCTTGCAGCACGCATAGCCAGTGTCATGTGCTGCACCGCAATCGCAGCAGTAGCTTGGCTGCCTCAGCCCCACCTCCCTGCTCACCCAGCCACTCTGCTCCTGAGCAGAGAGATCCTCGGGCCCCCTTGCCAGAGGTGCTGGGTAAGTAGGGAGGCGAGGTTGTAGCAGCCAAGCTACTGCCGTCATTGGGGTACAGAAGACGATGTGGCCATGCACACTGCACACAGTGTGGTAAGTGGTCTGGGTGTGGGTGTTCATCAAGCCAGCCACCTGTGCTAGTAGGCTTCGTATTCGTAAGCCCCCATCTCTCTTAAAAAGGAAGCCTGTCTTTTAAAAAATGTTTGGCTACACTCAGAAAATATGCAAATACTTAACACATGTATAAAGCACTGCTAGTTTAGGTGATTTAGGTATCTGACTGCAAATTCAGAAGTTGGAAGTTCAATTCCTCATTGTGCCTCCTTGACAGGGGTTGGATGTGATGATCTATAGGGGATTATGAAACTATTATGAAACTATTCCAGCTCTGCAGCACTAAGATGATGATGATTACGAAAACGTCTTTCAAATACTGTATGTGTCTGTTGGGGCAGCAGCAGCAGTCCACAAAAAACATCTTTCAAATATATGTCTGTTGGGGCAGCAGCAGCAGTCCACAGGATGTGTTGAGCCTTGTATTTAGTACTTATTATTTCTTAAATTAAACTTCTAAAGCACTCCATTGCAAGAGTCTTTCTGAACAGGTTGCAGTAAGGTAGCTTCATGCTTAAAGTTTTAAGTCTTGTTGCTAGTTCCTTCACAACATCATTGATGGGGAAATGTTTCCTTCAGAGGTGGCCTATCGAGGTCCATATAACATAGACCAGAATTTACCAATTAAGTTGAGTCTGAGGGCACGTTTTCTGCCCCCCCACCTTTTGGCCACTTCATCCTATCAAAAATGTGAGAATTAAAAATGAAACCACGAGTTGTCAGGTATCTATTTCTGGTTTTGAAGAAGGAACTTTTGACAGTGTCTTAAACATTGTAGAAGGACTCTGTGACCTATTAGGAAGATGAATCCCTGTTCATGGAGGGAGTAGCAAGTCACATTTTTTTCCTTCTCCCCCCCTTTTTTTCTGGGGAAAACCATTTCTTTTGCTGGGAGAATGAGGGAATCTGATGGGGTTTAAGCCACAAAATCAGCCTTGGGAACTATGCCTGGACCTAAGACCTTGCCCTATTCACCCCATCATAGATCTTCTTCCAAGCAGATATCTGAATGAGAGGCCTGAAGGAGCTGTAATCTTATGTTACAGATGTATAATTTCTATTCAGAATAGGGAGAATAGGATATGTTCAGCCATATCTCTATTTTCTCCCCTTTCATGAAGGTTCTGTATATCTGAATGCTGGCTTAGCTTTTGACAGTGTCTCTATTTCTCTATTTTCTCCCCTTTCACGAAGGTTCTGTATATCTGAATGCTGGCTTATTATGAAAATATTTTAAAAAAATAGAGGAAGAGAAACTCTTTCTATGTTCTTGTACATAATCTTTGTTTTAGGGAATGGTTGGCCATCTTCAGAAAAGAGTATCAGAATATAAATTTTGTACACCTGACTCTCAGAAATAAAAAAAATGGGTAAAATGTGAGGAAAAGGAAAAAAGGGTAAGAGAAGCCCACAGAAGGCTTTAACCTTGATAGATATTTGTTTAAGCTGTTAAATATATTCTAATAATGTAATATTTTGTTTCTTTCTTTTTTTAGCACCCGCTGTAACGTTTTTGGATTTATCAAAGAAGGTATTGTGAAATGAACTGGTTAACATAATAGCTCTGCCAATAACACATTAGACATTTGTTGAAGATTGGTTCAAATCAAAGTATGGGCTGCCTGCTAGTCCATGTTATCTTGCTGCCTAGGCCAAGCAGTGAATGTTTTCTCCAGTCACCTATGTCAAGGTGCATAGTAGCCAACGTTATTTTGGCAGAGAAGGAATGCTCACTAATTTGATTTGATTGTACTTCACCTTCCATCCTCCCTAATTGTAATGCTCTGTGGTCAGAAATGAGAGGAACCAGAATCCTAAACATGTACAGCACCACATGTTTCTCAACCCCTGTTTTTCCTCAACTGCTCCCACTGAAGTTTCAAGGCTCAGACTTACTCATCATCAAACTTAATCTGAGTCCTAACAGTTCTTAAAACCTTCTATGTTTATCTTTTCCTTGCTCAGTATTATCCAGTGCTAATTGCTTGCATTCTTGTGCTCGGTGGTCTCTTCGTGATGGCTATAATACAGCTAGTGAAATGTAAGTATGAAACCTATAATCTGTGTTCTGCTTTAAAGAACATTAAAGAACATTTTTGCGGAAGATGTTTTTTGGCACTTACCCTCATAGTAAAAGTAACAGCTTCTGTCCTTCCAGATGTCATTGAACTGCAATTCCCATTATTCCTCACTCTTAGCTATACGGGCTAGAATTGATGGGAAATCCCAATACTATCTTGTGGCTACACATTCTCCTTCCCTTCTGTAGGATAAAGTAAAATGGCTGTATTGAGAAAGTAACACAGCTCAGGGGAGTCAGCATCTGTTCTTCTCCTTGACAAAGCAACTGTCTGAGAAAAAGAAACTGGGTGTTTCTCTCTGTGACAATATCTGGAAGGCTACAAGATGTCCCCTGCCACAACATCTAGGCCTAGAACATACACTCACCCCTCATTCAATCAGTAATTTGGGCATGTCATAAATTTTGTCACCTTCTTTCCCTTTCCCACTTGTCTTTAACTTTTCTTTTCATTTTGGAAAATGCTGCCGTCTCTTTGTTCCTGGGGATAAAAGTGTTCATAGAGTAAGGGGGAGGAGAGGAAGCAAACCTGTAAGTCACAGAAGAGAGAAAAAAACCCTATGGGTAGATTTTGAGTACTGAAAAGAAGGAACTCAGGATTTCTTGGGTCAAAAGGGTGAATAAAGATCAAGACTAGTATCCTGTTGAGCAATTGCATAGCATAAACATCTGCATACACAATTCTGTGGAGGTTATGTTGGCTCGTGCTGTTGTGCAATCTCTCACACAACTGGTTGCTGAAAGGAAATCTTAAACTTGCAGAATACATTGTGTAATACTGACAGCCAGGCTCCCACTTGTAACCTGTGACTAAGGCAGGTAATGGTTCGTTTGTGCTGTGTTCCACACAAGCACTTGTATGGGACACAATCCTTCAGTAATTCCAAAGAAGTGCATCTGGAATGGTTCGTTTGTATGGGACACAGTCCTTCAGTAATTCCAAAGAAGTGCATCTGCCCCCACCAAAAATATGTACGTAAAATATGTATGTAAAAAAGTATGTACAATATATACAATAATATTTACACTGCCATAATTTCCAAGAGGATTCTAGCCTAGGAAATCATTGAACACATAGAAATCTAGAATGAGAAACAATAAGTACAGGTTGTTGGCACATGATTATTCAAGGTATCAAAATAAGAAAAGTGCAGGAGGAAAACCTTCTTGGCTCAAAAATCTTACAGACTCAGTTGGATGCAACATAAACCATTGTTTAAGAGCTGCCACCTCCATGGTATTGCCCACCTCATGTAAAAGAGGAACACAAGGACGAAGAAGAAAGCAAGGGAACAGAAGTAGAATTAAAAGAAACCGCTGAGAATCCTGAACATTGATTCATAAGCTAACTCAGATATTCATGTTCATAATTCATTGACTAGAGCATCAGGTGATGATATTTTGTGTGAATCAGCCATCACAGAATAATTCCCGAAACAGAACTTCCAGGAAGGAGAAGAAGACCTTTCGGAATTTATAGTTCCCTTTGGCAGATTTCATGAAGAACAGCTATAATTTAGATATTAATCATTATTGTACATTGAACATGAAATCATAATTTGAGGTGATAACTGATGCTTCATTTTCTTTTTGTATCCTATGATTTTAGTTTTAGTTCTGTCAGCGGCACGGTACCTCTAAATTTTATATTTTTTATAAGAAAATAATTGGCATAATACCCAATACAAATTCACTTTTCATTGGAGACTATTTATTTACTTGTGCACTTTTAGGACATCCTTCCACAAACTGTAGGTTGTGTATAAGCAGGATAATTGAATGTATGTATCAAATAAATAACAGGACGTGGTGGTGCTGTGGGCTAAACTGCAGAATCCTGTGCTGCAGGGTCAGAAGACCAGCAGTCGTAAGATCGAGTCCACGCGATGGAGTGAGCTCCCATCGCTTTGTCCCAGCTCCTTGCCAACCTAGCAGTTCAAAAGCATGCAAATGCGAGTAGACAAATAGGTACCACCTTGGTGGGAAGGTAAAATGGCGTTCCCTAGTCATGCTGGCCACGTGATAACGGAAAGTGTCTTTGGACAAGCGCTGGCTCTATGGCTTGAAAAACGGGATGAGCACCGCCCCCTAGTGTCAGACACGACTGGACTAAAAATGTCAAGGGGAACCTTTACCTTTACGTTATCAAATAAATATCAAATCATACTTCTATGCTGAACATAAGGGTGTCCCAGTTGTGCTGTGGTACTGCAGACTTTGCCTTGTACAGGCAGAGAAGGAAGGCCACTTGCAGAGAGGAAGATCCACTCATGGAAGTTCTACTTAGATGGTACTGGAGTTGCCATATAAATGAAAAGCTCCCTGGGCAGCTGAATATCTGTGGGATCTGAGGTCTTTTTGGTTCCCAAATGCAATCTAAAAGGTGTCAGAAGCACAGCTTGGAAAGTAACTTTCGAGCAGAATGAGTTTAATGTCACTGTGGAGCCTTTCATCATTGAACAGTGCCAGGATGATGCCCCCGGAACAGAGAGGTTATCTACACCACACAGGTACAAAGCCATGGCTCTGACCTGTGGAATCATGAGATTCATAGCTTGCTGATTTTAGAAGAGGTAGGCATATTAGTCTGTGAAAGCATATCAGGCAAAATCCAAAGAAACAAGACAAGACATAAACATGTAGCACCTTAAAGACCATAAATTTTTAATATGAGCTTTTGTGGACAAGTCCACTTTGTCAGACATATGGGAAAAAGAATGAAATACTGGATGAAATACCAATTACACAAGTAAAACTTTCTAAATATTCATTGGCCCTAAGAGTCTTGGGTGTGTAGTTACATCTCACATGCAGTAATTTATGGCCTATGTTTGGTGTTAGGTTCTATAGTAAATATTCCTACAAGAGACAAAAAACAGATACTAGGCATGAACAAAAAAGGAGGGGGGGAGAAGAGATGATGGTGTTAAGACTGTCATAAACTCAAGGGGGGGGGAAAGGGAGGCAGAATTATCTGCTACAGAGCTGTAGTGCACTCCACCAAACTTCAGCAGAGACTTCCAAACACTTCATGGAATGGCAAATCCAAGGATCATAGAGACCTCTTCCGTGGGTCAGTTCTGTATGGTTTTCAGAGGATCATTATTCATTCTTCTTAAAAGTAACTTTGCAAGCTCTGGCCGGAAACTACACTGGTTGGGTGCACTGAGATAACAGGAGAGTTTCTGCAGAACGTTGATTTTGCGCCAATACCCTTGAGATGAAATTTCTGCTGTGTTGTGACAGTTCTCTGCTTCTGAGAGCTGCGGAGTATGAGACAGTCAGTTCCGTTTTGTTCACTAAATTGTATATCATTGTCCTAGATATTCCTGCTAAACTGAACTTTGTTTCTTCTCTAGGTAAAAAGATGAGAAAATATCAGTTGGACAATATGAAAAGGTAAGAGTTTAGTGTGAATAGAAAAAGGCACATGTGCTTATGCTATGGTTGTGTCTGTTCACCCCTTGCCTTTCCTAACGTGTTAAAAGTTGTAAGCCTTGGGGCAGGGCTTGTTATTTTAATTTAAGCTGCAATCTAATGTTTCCTGTAGTCACCAAAGTATAGTTTGCCCACAGAAATGCTTCCTGCCTGGCAGCGAAATTATCCACTCCTGTGGTGCCCCGGTAGGAGAGCTCCATCCACGGTGGACACAGAAACAATATGGCAACATGGGGGACATGAATGGGCAGGATATTTGGACCTTCCCTGAATTAGAGCTGTAAGCCAGTCTGAGATAGGAGCTGATATAGTAATTCCTCCCATTGGAGGCATCACAGGGGAATAGCTGGCCCACCTCCTTCCCAGGCTGGACCTCACCTACCTCACCTTAGGCTGAGTTGTTGAAATTCATTTACCAAAGCATCCATAGTAATTTGTATTCCTATCTCATTTGACAAAACAAAAGGGCATTCCTCTTGCCGCTTAGGAGGAATGAGAGAAGAGCATAAAACCTGAAAACCCCTCTTCCAAATCCCATTTAAAATACCTTTTAAATATAATTTCAGAAACTAACTAGCTAATTATTATAAATAAGTAAGTTTGGTGTTTCTTGTTGTGCCTATAAGGTAATTTTGTAATGACTAGTTACATCACTTGTTGCCCAAAAGGTAACAAGTTACAGGTAACTACATTACTCGCAACTAGTCAGTTTTAAGTGCTGGATTCACTCGGTGACCTTGAGGTGCTCTGGCATTGTGTGCGAAACCTTATAAGAGAATAGTTTGAAGTAAACTAAATTTTATTTACTTCTGATTAAAACAGCACAGTTCTTTTTTTGGGGAAGTTGCTATCGTTTATTTTAATTCATATATATGCTGCCTTTCCATTAAAAAGATGCTCAGGTCAAATTCTGAATTTCCTTCAAGCTGCTTATATGCCTCTGTTTTAAGCTAGAATTGTGTTTGGCCAGACTGTGTTGCTACAGGTACTGTTAATTTAACAACAGTGCTAATAGGTTTGTGTTGGAAACTGCTGAGAGTTTGCATAGAAAAGTGAGATATTAAATGACAAAATGCATAAGGCAAATTTAACTATTTATTACAAGATTTTAAAATTTTCCTCTTATCTTTGCAGCTTAATCAAAGAGGAAGAACCTGAGCAATCATCTGCTGAAACAGAAAGAGAAAGTGTAATTTTTCCTCTGTAACAAGTCACATTTTTGTAACCATTCAGCTACAAATATTATGGATTTCCCCCCTAAAGCAACATTCCTTAATGATATACATTGGTATATATTCTGAAATTGTGCCAAACACTTATTACTTACCTCTGTCAACTAACTGTTGTGCTCTGTCGCCAATCTTTTGTTGGGTTTTATTTTCTGCTTCTAAAATGGCTTTTAAACATTCTGGACAAAAAGTGCACACATTTCACATTGTGCACTGAGGATATTGCCAGGACAAAATATAGTTGTCAAAAAGGCCAGCCCTACCTTTAGGCAGGCTGTGTCAGTTACCAAAGGCGGACTTGGGATGTCATTTTGTTAAATAAAAAAGACACACAATTGTTTGTTCATTTACATGCATTTTTTACTACCGAGATGGGAGAGAAAGTTGTCAGATTTGGTGTCTCATGTTGTAAAATAACCCATCTGAGTCCTGAGTTTGAGGGTGGAGGCATTCTGTTGTACCTCAGGCAGTGAAATGTATTGGGCTACTTTGGCCAGAAACAGTATTTCTGGTGATACTTTTTACATTTCCAACAGTTGTGGTAGCAATGACATGAATCAAAGCCCAGCGAGGTGCACATGTTGACATATTTCCTATTATGTGGATAGTTACACTGGTAATTCAGCAGACTGAGATGTTAAGGGGTTAAACCGCATATTGGTAAACTACTTAGCCATTATGTTCTTCCCCAAATTCTGAGCTATGTAAATCCCAATGTGTAAATCCTGCTCTGGGTAATAACTTGACATTGTGCTAGCGATTAATCTCTAGTGCAGAATGGTGGCATAAATGCTTAAAGTGCAGTCCATAGCAATAATGATTTTAGAACAATATAATGATGAAACTTGTACCTGGTGCAATTCATGTCCCAGAAGTATAGAAGAGAAGCAGCTAAACTCCCCTGGGTATTTCTTCATTTCTGCTTTACTTTTTATATATCCTCTTCCACTTCTTCTGAGGCTGGAATTTTTATAGCTCATATACAATGTTTGCACTTTTGAAGATTTTTTTAAAAAAATATCCCCCAACCAACAAATCTTGCATCTCTGAACTTCTAAGCCCCACTAGGGAATTGTCACTCTATCAAACACAATCGCATGCAGGTGATTGGTTTTTTGTTTTTTTCATCACCAGGCTCATTCTGACTCTGATTTTAAGTGTCTTCTATCCTCCCTATGAACATAGGCACCTTTTTGCAAAACTGACATTTCTTCGTGTCCAATTCTCCTATTGCTTAAACTAAAGGGTGTTTTGTCTGCATGTTTCAAAAAAGGGTATTTGTCTGCATAGCTTTCACATGGATGCCTCTTTTTTTTGCAAAGCAAGCTCCAAAATTTATGGAGTTCCAATCTCAGATTGAATTTGGTTCTACCTTCAGTTCTAGGAAGTTTCAGTTCGGCAAGTCAACAAGTTTCACACCCAGTTTGAATCCAACCCCACTTATCTTTGATGGTTTTCATTCTGACACTTTTCCTGGAAAATTATACCATAACCTCATTATAAGTCATTATAAATCATTCAGACCTTATCTTTCAATAAATCAAGTAAAAATCAGGAGAAATGCAGGAACAGGTGATACTGTTACTGGACCACTAAAAAATAATAAAACACACACACACACCAAACAATGAGCTTTCGATGATAGTTCATCTTCTTCTGGCTGTGCACTATGTTCTCATGGGTAGGTCCAAAATTATATGTTGGTTCTCATGGGTAGGTCCAAAATTATATGTTTTTATTAAAGTCTCATGGCTTTAATAGTCTCATGGCTGCTTTAAAGGTATCACCTGTTCCTACATTTGTGTCAATAAACCAAGTAGTCATCACTTGCAGTCATTTTTTTACATAGTGTATGACTGTGACCATGTTGCCTGTAAAACCAATAAACCAAGTAGTCATCACCTGCAGTCATTTTATTTACATAGAGTATGACTGTGACCATGTTGCCTGTAAAACTCACTGGAAATCCAAAAGGTTTTCACATCTTGGATTTGGGCCATCCAAATCTGATATGTTTAACACAATCAAACTCTCCTACGAAGCTCACTAGTTCTTTTATAATACCTTGGGTTTGTTTATTAACAGCTTTCCAATCATCTACACTACCATGAATGAATATTTCAATTGTTACAATTCTCTTCCTATTTTCCTTTGGGAAATATCAATAATAATGTTGTATAATGCTGGTCTTAATAAAAGAACATTACACCAAGGCGTTAAGATTAAGGTACCATTATGGTGATACTTGCCTTGCTTATATCTAGATTACTGCAAAACACTATGTGTGGAATACCTTTGAAGAGTACAATGGTGCCCTACTTAACGATTACCCCACTCCATGACAAATCCGTTTAACGATGAGTTTTTTGCAATCACTTTTGCGATTGCAATTTAATGATGAGTTTTTTTGCAATCACTTTTGCGATTGCAAAATGATGTTTAAATGGGGAAAATCCGCTTGATGACGATTGGTCCCCTGCTTCGGGAACCGATTTTTTGCTAAACGATGATCTAAAAACAGCTGATCAGTGGCTCTCAAAATGGCTTCCCACTGTGTTAAGGATGGATTCCTTGCTATACAGGCACCAGAAAATGGCAGCCCTATGGAGGATCTTCGCTGGATAGTGAGGTATTTTGCCCATTGGAACGCATTGAAAGGTTTTCAATGCATTTCAATGGCCTGTGACAGGGAGACATTGTAAGTAGTGATTAAGCAGAAGTGAAAGAACGCAGAGAGGTGCAACATTCAACATCATTGTCAGGATAGTTACATAGGTCAAAATGCTCCATTTGCCCAAAGAATGGACAGAACATAATCCAAGAAACCCCCAATATCTCATCATCCCAAAAGTTACAGTGCATCACACAGACACATTACTCAAACTAATGGATTTAATGATCATCACTATGAGCCAATTTGCCTTGTGGAAACTTTGCCCCAGAAATGTCAATGTAAAGCAACTTAGGCACCTGAGCGTTACTCCTTTCCTACCTTGTTCTCCATGTCCCCACTTCCAATTATTTACACTTGCTCATGTTTGAATTTACAAAGGAAATCAGAGGAGAGGAACCTGCACAGAACTCTAATGAATCCTGTAGGGACATATTTAGATGGAAATGCACTGAACTAATTCATGAGGAACTGATACCAGCTGTCAGCACATTTAATGAAAGGTTAAAGAGATCTTTCCGAGAGGCAACCAAGAGCAAAGTACATACCTCTAAAGAAAACAAAGATATGCAATCCCTTGAAGTTGGAAAAACCTGGCAAGCAGAGAGACTTTGCCAAAAAAGAGAGGTCTGTTAACATTTCTCCTCATCTGAAAGAAGTTTGGAGCAGGGATGAGCAAACAGACTGTGTTACAACCTAGAACCTACATAGCTGCCAAATTATAAACCAGAATTAAAAATACAAATAAAAGCTTTCTTACCTCATACATGTGCAAAGTATCCCTTTCAAAGAAGGCCTGATTTTTTTTTTGCATACATGTGTGACTGCAGTGGGTCTTGGAGATGTGCCTATGTCATAATACATTCTCTTTCAACCTTTTACCCCTGGTTTCATAGCATGCCATAAAGTTAGAACTGACCTACAGTGATGCTTAGTATGCGAAGCTGGAATGTCCTCTCCAGGGCACGAAGCTTGGGTAAAATAATATGGAGGATAGGCTGTTACCCAAGCAGCAGATCCCCCCTCTCCACATCGCTGAAATAATCCAGTGGAAAGGCGAGAGCCAATACAACTGGTTCCAGCAGGAGTTGGCAGAACGACACGAACTGCCTCCGGAACTCAGGCTTTGGATTTTGCCTCGAGATTAACTCCTGAAGCCTTTTCCATAAGTGGATATTAGTAGATACTTGAGTTTTTAAAATAAGTGAGGTATTTGAGGAGTGGTTTTACCAGTTCAACCTCCCTCCCTCCAGTGAGTTTCCATGGCACAACTGGGGAATCAAACCCAGGTCTCCTAAATCTTAGTCAACTCTCTGCTACACCACTTTGGGTATCTTATTTAATTCCCTGAATATTTACAAATTCTAGAGATAGTCTCTACAGGGAATTTGAAGAGACATAGAGAACTTTCCAAAGTTCTCTGTTGTAAGGCAAAAACTGTTGACAAACTTTGAAGACCTTTTGTTCTCTTTACCAAGCAAAATGGGGGAAGAGGAGGGAAAATACATGTGTGAAGTTGGCTATTAAGAGTCACAAGATGGAATGAACACAAACTTAAATAGATTAGGCTACACTACATATCACATCAGTTTTAGGGTACATCTTAGTCTTTAAGGGGAGATATGAAATGGTTGATTCCCTCATTTAAAAACAATAACTTATCCAGTTGTTATTCATGTCTATCTCTTACATTAGGTGAAACTAATAAATTCCATGGTAGGCAAAGAACAAAACATTTAAAAGGCGCAAGACTGTTTTTATATTAGGAAAGCTGGAAACCTTCCTGTCCCGCTGAGAGCCAAAGTACTTTGCCGTCACATTTCTGTGCATTGTGATGACTTTCATTATCACACAGAGTTTTGAATGAACTATATTTATAACAGGGAAAGGAACTTTGCCTAGTTTAAGGTGCCCCTGGTAATCCATGGTGCTTTATTTATTGCAATTACTACAGTGCACAGATCAGCAGTTCATTGGCCTAAGTGGTTTTTAATTTGTTCAGATTCAATATTACATCTAGAGAATTCAAAGGAACAACAGTTTTGCTTTGAGAAAGAATGTAGTAATTAAATTGGAGATTTAGCTGACAGCTATAAAATAATTTTATATCGACCTATACCTGATGCTTGAGGTGAATTGTCTACAATAAATGACCAATATATTGGCTCAATATCAAGAGAAGATAATGACCTAAGTAGCCCGATTAATATAAAGAAGATGGAGAAAGGTAATTAAAATGGAGATATGATAGTGTCAGAGCAAGGAGTGGGTAATGGAGAGACACAAGAGAAAACTACAGTAAAGCCATCCACTGAGTGAGATAGGAAGGCAAATCCTTTAAGAAGGGGGAATTAAGAGATTATTTCCTGATTAGTAGAAAACCATTGTGACTTTCTCCAGAGCTATCACTTTAGCAGATGATGATTCCTAGAAGCTCCTTCCTTCCTATGCCATTATTTCATTGGTTTCATTTCTAAGTCAAATGTTTTTGGAAGATTTATCAAGGTGGGGATTAACTGGTTTTTCAGCATGAAAATAGCAAATAAAAAGAATGTATCTATTAAAAAAGCCAATGATCAAGGATTTATTTAATTTTTTTAATGTTTTAAAGATTTTTAAAAAGGGGGTGAAAGCCACAAGATGATTGAATGAAACACGTGAAGATGTTCTGCTCAATTTATAGGGACCGAAATGAAGGTAGTTTCACATCGGAGACAGAAGATGGCATGAAGGAGCTTCAGGAAACATACAGCTGAACAGGACGGGTCTTTTGTGTAGTAAGCAGTATTTTATTTTGCTCTTTTAAAAGGAGAGCAGCCAGAGAGGGACTCTCCATATTTCTTTCCACCACTGTTTGTCTTTGATAACTTGTGCAGTTTAATTATGTACACCTGCCTCCCTTTCTATGGCTGCTCCTTTTGTGGTATTCATTTCAAAAAAGCCTGAACCACCTCTGTCCTGAACACGGATGTACTGGATAAAACCCAAAGAAAAGAGAAGGAAATCGTGAGCTATCTCCAGCTCACTTGGCGGCCATGGGCATGCATTTCTGCCTAACTAACCAAAAGGGGACGAACAAGACTTAATGGTGCACAATTGCTGCTAAGCAAACCAAAAACAAAACATTTATTAACATCTCATGTTATTAACATATTATGTTAATAAATGAATGCTGTTTATTTTGTTGTAGAAAAGGTGGGTTACAGATTTGGAAGACAAACTTTACGCTTTTCTATCTGGGCTGGCTTGGGTTATTGGATGTTGGAATGAATTATTTGAGAGGTATGAATATTTCAAAGGATTACTGTACCAGACTAACTCTATCATGAAATAAATTGAGGGTCTTGGCTCAAGCAGCAGATTGGAAAGGTGGCACCCCACCTGCCCACATATTTATAACAACACCTGGCCACTCCTACTTCTTTTCTACTAGTCAACC